CAGTCTTTCTTTTTTTTCTTTATTTATATTTATATACCGCCTTTTCACTGCAGACCAGAGTCTCAAAGCGGTTTACAATTGTTAATTTTTGGGCATTTATCTTTCACTCCACACAGAGATGGGAGCGGGGTCGCCAGTACAGGAGGCGCATGCCAGAACTATTGGACATATTTTTAGTGGTAGGGGAAACCGGAGTACCCGGAGGAAACCTACGCAGACACGGGGAGAACATGCAAACTCCACTCAGAAAGGCCCTGGTCCGACCGGGATTCGAACCCAGGACCTTCTTGCTGAGAGGCGAGAGTGCTAACCACTCAGCCACCGTGCCGCACCGAGCCCGCCAGTCAATCCACTGTATCTCTCTGGTCTCTCTCTGGTCTCTCTCTCTCTCTCTCCGGTCTCTCTCTCTCTCTCTCTCCCTGGTCTCTCTCTGGTCTCTCTCTCTCTTTCTCTCTGGTCTTTCTCTCTCTCTGCTCTCTCTGGTGTTTCTCTCTCTCTGGTGTTTCTCTCTCTCTGGTCTTTCTCCCTCTCTCTGGTGTTTCTCTCTCTCTGGTCTCTCTCTCTGGTCTCTTTCTTTCTCTCTCTCTCTGGTCTTTCTCTCTCTCTGGTGTTTCTCTCTCTCTCTGGTCTCTTTCTCTCTCTCTCTGGTCTCTTTCTCTCTCTCAGGTCTCTTTCTCTCTCTCTGCTCTCTCTCTCTCTCTCTCTGGTCTCTTTCGTTCTCTCTCTCTCTGCTCTCTCTCTCTCTCTCAGGTCTCTCTCTCTCTCTGCTCTCTTTCTCTCTCTCTGGTCTCTCTCTCTCTCTCTCTCTCTATCGTGTGACGTGACCAAGTAAGCCGCACAGCGTGTAGCTTTTTTGAATCTATATCACCAAATCCATAACTTCGCCTCCTTCAGCCTTAGTGCTTGAGAACTCCTCGAGAAAACCTGTACGTAGACACAGGGAGAACATGCAAACTCTCCATACAAACCCCTTTGCTTGGAGCTGGAATCAAACCCATGACCTTCTTGTTTAACCGTTGTCGTCTGTTTGGATGGAACAGGAGCTCCATGTCGGGTTAAACAGTTTCATGTTTTCAATCTCAGTAAAATCTATCTATTCTACTTTAGTGGTAAACAAGTGGCACGGTGGCTGAGTGGATAGCACTCTCGCCTCTCAGCCAAGAAGGTCCTGGGTTCGAATCCCGGTCGGACCAGGGCCTTTCTGAGTGGAGTTTGCATGTTCTCCCCGTGTCTGCGTAGGTTTCCTCCGGGTACTCCGGTTTCCCCTACCACTAAAAACATGCACAATAGTTCTGGCATGCGCCTCCTGTACTCTGTGTGGAGTGAGAGACAAATGCCCAAAAATTAACAATTGTAAACCGCTTTGAGACTCAGATCTGCAGCGAAAAGGCGGTATATAAATACAGATTACTTACTTACTACTACTACTAAACAAAAATACATGCCATAGATTTGAACGACCTCGTGGTCCTGGCTGGGGCTTTGAGAATGATTATAAGTCTAAACATAGGTTGTAGCTGGGCTAATGGAGACAGACGAGGCTCCTTTCTCTTTCTTCCTCTGCTCTCTGCACCAAAACACAGAAGACTAAACCCTAAACGGCCCTTTGTCTGTGCTTTGTGCTTTTGCCGTCCTCGCCGCGGCTTATCAGTGCGTCATGTAGAAGGATGTGCTTAGCTCGGTCTCACCGTTCAGCTTTGCATTAAACCGCTTGGCTCATTACTGCCGGAAGCTTCCCTGAAACAAAGGCGTCCTGCTGAGGGGGACCCGGCCCATGGTCTGAGTCAGGCAGAAGCCAAATGCACCGCTTCAGTCGGTCCAAGAAGAGCTGTTTAGGAAGGAAGATCCGCGTATGCTAGCTTTAAGACTCCCACATCCCATCCATCAATTCTAATAATAATCATAATAATACGTCAAACTCATATAATATAATAATAATAATGCTTATATAGCGCTTAAAGACGCTTCACATGTCAATATTTATTCACTCCAAACACGGTGGTGATAAACTCCTACTGTAGCCGCAGCTGCCCTGGGGCACACTGACAGAAGCGAGGCAACCAGTCTGTTCCATCGGCCCCTCCCACCACCACCAACCATTCACACACACACCAGACTCATTCTAATGTGGGGGAAGTGTCTTGCCTAAGGACACGACGACAGCAGACATCAGTGGGAGTCGTGGGAGAAAGTCTTCTGGTGGACTCGAACCCACGGCGGCACGGTGGCTGAGTGGTTAGCACTCTCGCCTCTCAGCAAGAAGGTCCTGGGTTCGAATCCCGGTCGGACCAGGGCCTTTCTGAGTGGAGTTTGCATGTTCTCCCCGTGTCTGCGTAGGTTTCCTCCGGGTACTCCGGTTTCCCCTACCACTAAAAATATGTACAATAGTTCTAGCATGTGCCTCCTGTACTGGCCCCTCCCATCTCTGTGTGGAGTGAGAGACAAATGCCCAAAAAAAATAAAATTAACAATTGTAAACTGCTTTGAGACTCAGATCTGCAGTGAAAAGGCGGTATATAAATAAAGATTACTTACTTACTTACTACTACGACCTTCAGGCGTAGAGGCCAATGCTCTACCAACCGAGCCACTGTCGCCTCGTATATAGCACCTTTTGGACACTCATAGACGCTTTATAAAATACATCAAAATAAACATTGAAGAACAAAATGATGGAAAGGCTTTGAGCGGTGATTTAAAGTTCTGTAGTGAGAGTCTGAGTTCTAATGTGTGCTGGAAAAGAGTCGGGGCAGCTGCGGCAAAGGCTCCAGTCCCCCAGGGTTTGTGGTTTAGTCCTGAGGGGAGTGAGGAGGTCTGAGTCTGTGGGTCTGAGGCGGGTGGAGGGACCATGATGATGGAGGAGGTCAAGTCAAGTAAGAGCGATGGAGGTTTGATTCCCAACTTTCTTTCTACGCTCCCATCCTCACCGACTGTCATGAGCTTCGGGTAATGACCGAAAGGAGCTCGCAGTAGAGCCGCTGTTTCCCCATGGCCTGAAGACCCAGTTGTGGAGGGCTTAGGCATCTGCATCTGAATTAGTCATGTCCCACTTGGAGGAGACACACACTGTGGAAGACCTGGGGATTTTGATATTTTCCTTTTGAATGTATTTATGAGGATTTTCCCAATATTTTTGAAAAGAACCGCCCTCTCCACTTATTGGACGAGCACATATCACCAGAATGATTGACAACTGGGAGAGCAAATAGTTTTGATGAATCCACCCAGGAGTAGAAAATCCTCCTCTACACCTTTAAGTTTCTGTTTTTCATTTCAAGAGTGCTCTATCTTTTGTCTTTGTTATATGCATTTCTGAAAAAAGTCTAAACACCTAAAGGGTAATGAACCAATGGACAACAATAACAGGATGCGTTTTTAGGAAGTAGTCACCAAACTGTATGAAATTATTACTGACTGTTTTAACCAATACTAACTTGTTTAATTCAGTTTAACTCTATATCCCAGTCTCCTTTAAGACATTGCGGCGATATTGACACCCCAGACATCCTTATTTGGGCCTCAGCTGACTCTAAACTCGACTTGAACATGAAAACTAATTGACTTTAAATATGGTGAGGAACGTTCGGTGTGAGTGGTCCGTCCAATTATCTGCGGGGTTTATGAAGCGCGGTCTCAGATGTGGCTCGGGCCGTAATTAATCACATCAAAGGCTTGTTGTGCGGAGACCAGCGCCCTATTAAAGAACCGGCGGCTTCCCTCCGTGGACCCGACACACTTGGGCTGTGGCAGGACACGCATGTTCAGTCTCTGAGCGGTTTGTCACGCAGTCCTGACCTCCACAGCCCTTCCTGGTTCATCCAAGCACACAAACCATTTGTTTTCCTTGTTAGATCAAAGCCCCTGGTGCCTTGAGGAAGTGAACGTGTTTTAGGATGTGTCCGATTCATGATTGCAGAATGTTTAAGCCTCTATGCAAGAGCAAACGTGCGAGTAGCTACAGAGGAGAGTCAGTGATGATTTAGCCTGGTCTTACCATGTGTAAACTCTGGTCCATGGTCATTTCCTACATGTACGTCTGGTCTTACCATGTGTAAACTCTGGTCCATGGTCATCTCCTACATGTACGTCTGGTCTTACCATGTGTAAACTCTGGTCCATGGTCATTTCCTACATGTACGTCTGGTCTTACCATGTGTAAACTCTGGTCCATGGTCATTTCCTACATGTACGTCTGGTCTTACCATGTGTAAACTCTGGTCCATGGTCATTTCCTACATGTACGTCTGGTCTTACCATGTGTAAACTCTGGTCCATGGTCATCTCCTACATGTACGTCTGGTCTTACCATGTGTAAACTCTGGTCCATGGTCATTTCCTACATGGAGAGGCAGCGTTCCAGACTTATGCGGCTAAAATCTGGAACAATCTTCCTGAAGATGTGAGGCAGGCATCTACTCTGGCAGTTTTCAAATCCAGGTTAAAAACAGTTATTTTATAAGAATTTTATTTGATTTTATCTCCACAACCGAAGGATTTTATATTTACTCTTTTTAATACATTGTGGCTTTTTATTATTTTAATCCTGTGTGTGTTTTTAATGTTTTAAGGTTTTTAATTACTTTTACATTTTTTCAGTTTTTAATATGTCTTGTGTTTTTTTAAGTATATGTAGATTTTAATGTTTATAATTTGCTTGATATGACGTGGGCTGTGAGGCGCTTTGTGTTGCCTTGTGAACGAAAGGCACTATTGGGATAAATGTAGATTAATTGTTATGTATTTAAGGCCTATCACTGCTTCTCTGCTGCTATGGTAACGATGCTTCTTGGCCTCAAAGTGAAGTAGAAAGATAATATAGAAAGAGGATATTAGAGTTACAATTATCATCTGATCTGTCGGTAAACGTCTTCTGGAAACCACCAAAGCGTCGTCACAATCTGCCGAGCGCTGCATGAATCAGGCCTTTGATTTCCGGCGATTCTTGTCTGGTCTCCTTCCTATCGCTAATGGACCCACCAGGAAGTTGCCAACTCAAACACTCACCGGAGCCGGCCCCCTCCCATTGGTCGAGAGGACAGGAAGTGCTCTGCTCCGTTTCCTGTTTGCGTCGACGGTTGTGCTCCCGGGCAGGACGTGCGACTGAGGAGATAGAGAGAATAAAAAAAATGTGGTTAGAAAGTGTGAAAGAGGTTCTGGACAGTGAGAAAAGCTTGTGTTAGTTTGATAGTACCAGTGGGGAACGTTTAACCGCACTGTTTTTCTTAGCTTTTCACCATCTTGAGCTTAAAGATGCAGTCAGTGATTTTTTCCAGACCCATTTTTTTAAGTATTGTGTGAAAACGTCCCTAAACCCTAAAAGTTTCAAGTTATCATATGTTTTCAAATAGTAATGAAATTGAGCAGATGTCTATAGTCTACAAACATTAACACTAACATTTTGGAGCCGACCGATAAAAACAAACCGATGAGATTCGTTCATCTCCAACGAACCAATGGGATGTGTTTACCGCCTTCACCCGAGAATCATGTTCCAGGACTCACCCAATAAGGCAGATGTTTATTTATATCGCACAGTTTGTACACAAGGCAGCCTGGTCTTACCACACCATTGTACTAGTTTCCTCTGGATCTGCTCCATTGACTCCGTTAACAGTGGGAGGGGCTAACTCCTTTTACAGATTGAAACGATTGGATCTGAGTTTACTGTGACGTATGTAATGAACCCAAGTTAGTCGATAGCATTTAGCATTTAGCTTAGCATTAGCCATCTCCTTTGCCGCTAACGGAGCCCGTGGGGAGTAGCGCCACAAGTTTTTCCAGAGATTACATTTGTTAAACATTCCTCTTGCTCCGGCTTCAGTTTCTTGATAGAACCAGACCAGAATACTTTACTATCACATTCTTCACCAAACTACGACCTGCCCGTTCGACGCAAACTCTTGACGTCACCCACATCTAACTACAACACCCGCCTCCCGCGCTCTCTGATTGGTCGGATGGAATTCAACCGATGGGCTCTACGCACACACTTTTAGCTACTACCCCACTTCACTTCCTGTTCGCGGGAAATGGCTTGAGTTTCACTGGAGTTCAGTGGTTTACACGAGATTCCCAAATAATGCTCAAACAGAGATTAAACTGTGGATACTGGGCATTTCTGGGACACAGCAGTGCTCTCTGATTGTGCTGTCATTGTGTTTTTATAAAGTTTACTAATCTCTCTGAGTGGACACGGTCACAGCTCTTTTTTTGTTTTTTTTTTTGTTTTTTTATTGGCGTATACAATATATTACAGCAGACATTATAGACCCATTTGTACATTTAGACATGAAACCTACATAAACATATAAGCATTTACATAGGGTCAGGAGGGGGGACAGGGGGGGGGGGGGGATTCAGCGAGCGTGTGTGTGTGTGTGTGTGTGTATGTGCGTGTTCACTTTTGGTGTATTGAATAGGTATCTGAGGGTGTTGAAAATTTTCTTTTATTGACCGGTAGTGAGAGAGGGGAGAAAGAAAAGAGAGACTAATAATAATAGTAATACTAATAATAATAATAGTAAAAAACATAGGACGAGTTGAGGTGCTATAATCCAAGGGAGGGGGGATTATGGAGGGGGGTGGTCGTAATGTTGGTGAAGAGGGTCCCATTAGGACAGGGGTCACCAACGCGGTGCCCGCGGGCACCAGGTCGCCCGTAAGGACCAGATGAGTCGCCCGCTGGCCTGTTCTAAAAATAGCTCAAATAGTAGCACTCAAGCCTAGTGCGCTGCGCGGAGCTTACGGAGGTGACGTGACGTCACTTGCGCAACGCGTGGATCACATCAAGGCCCTTACGTAGCCTGCCACGCACCCTCGAATACTACGCGGCCAACGCCGCAGACAAGCTCCGCTGTGATTGGTCCGTGTGTGAGAGGAGCTCCGCTGTGATTGGTTCGTGTGTGTGTTTTGGACGGAAGCATGGAGCGGCTGCAGGGAGCACGGACGAGGCACTTCGGAGCAGACCGCTTTGTGCTTCGAAGGAACCGAAGGAAAAGTAGTTTGGTCTCATGGCAGAGCCTGATATAACTTATAAACTGTGCAGTTGTTTCTTTTGCACTGTTCCTGTCTTGTTTGCGTTGTAGCTTATCGCGTCTGTTGCATTCCTACTGCACTTATAGTTCGTGTTTTTCTCAGATATTTACCACTTATTGATTATCTGTTTGTGCTGAATACACTTTAATAATAACTATGTTTCCAACAAGAACTGTGTCTTTATTCACAGCATCACAGTTAAATGAGTTGAAACGATGAGTTTAGAACTGTCACATAAACCTACAGTAGAAACACATGTAATGATCTCAAACAGCTTCACTGTTGTTTTTGTTCTGACGAGGAGAAAGTAGCAGCGTAAATGGGACTGCTTTGGTTTCTAAACTCCTGTGAGATCACCATCACGTGTGACGAGAGTTGACTTTTGTATTTTACATGAGTTATTATTTGTATAAACATGGTGCAAAGTTATTCATGATTTGTTAAAAAATGTTAGTGGCTAGTTGGTTAAAATGGGATATTGTGATTTCACAAGAAGTGATCGTTTGAAAATGTTCAATTTGAAAAATGTTGCATATTGATATTTATCTGTTTCTATATATATTTATTGTGAGAAATCGTTAAGATGATCAGTGTTTCCACAAAGATAAATATCATTAATTATTAATATGAACAGAGTTAAAAGTAAATTGAGCAAATTGGCTTTTTCTGGCAATTTATGTAATTGTGTAACAAACTGGTAGCCCTTCGCATTAATCAGTACCGGAGAAGTAGCTCTTGGTTTCAAAAAGGTTGGTGACCCCTGCATTAGGAGATAGGAGCGAGTTGGTAGGAGATTGGTGTTGCTCTTCCAGCAGCATCTCTGATTGTGTGGTGCATTAAAAACAGGTTTGGGATGTTGTGCATTAAAAGTGTGTCCTTGAGATGCATGTGGGAAGAGGACTTATTTTTTGTTATTTATTTATTATTTTTGTTATTTGTTCTTTATTTATATATTTTTATTAATTATTAATTCCTTTATTAATTTATTCTTATTCCCTCCTCATCAACATATCACTGTAGGATGTATGTATATCTATATATATATATTAACAGGGGTACAGTGGTGTAGCAGCAGGGAGAGAGAGAGAGGTGCGCAAAATACACGATGACATAAATATTGGAAATACGTAAAGTATATAAGGTTAGCTTATGACTGGGGTCTGGGATGAGTGGGGTGTATTGTCTGAGGTGTGGTTGGGGGGTATGTCTTGAAGTAAAATATAATCTGAAATTAAGTTTTCCCATGCTGAGATGTGTATGTTGGTTTTGGATTTCCAGTTTATGAGTATTGTTTTTTTGGCGATAGCTAGCGACATTAAAAGATACTTTGATTTACCCTGGTTGATGGGGAGTGTGGATATGTCTCCTAGAAGACAAAGGGATGGGGACATTGGGATGTTGCAGCCAAGTGAAGTGGTGAGTGATTGAGTGATGGCTTTCCAGAATGCTTGGACCGGAGTGCAGTGCCAAAGAGCGTGAATGTAATTGTCCCTACAACCCCGTGTGCAGTGTGGGCAGATGTCTGAAGTGGATCCCATTTTTGATAATTTGTAACCGGTGTAGTGATATCTGTGTAGGATTTTGAATTGTATGAGTTGGAGGTTGGAGTTGGTGGTCATTGAATACATATTTTTGCAGATTTGGGTCCAGAAGTTGGCACTGTCACAGCTCTACCTCAGAGAGAAAGCACAGACACTTTTGGGTCAGTCTCAGCTGAATGTATCGATCTAATTACTAAAAAGCGTCACTAAAACCCTCCTAAAAGCCATAGGAGATCATAGACAGGAAGTGGACGGGCTGTTCCTTGTTAACAGGAAATGACGTCACGCCTCCCCGTGCATATAGCCCATAGTAATCGCAAACACAGGGACCAGACCCAGACGTTACATGCAGGAGATGATGGAGCGGAGAGTACGGATGGATAAGTAAGTAAGTAAGTAAGTAATGTTTATTTATATACCGCCTTTCACAGACAAGGGTCACAAAGCGGTTTACAATTGTTATTATTTTTTTGGGCACTTGTCCTCTCACTCCACACAGAGATGGGAGCGGGGCCCGTACAGGAGGCGCATGCACAGTCCTATTGTACATATTTTTAGTGTAAGTAAGTTAGTAAGTAAGCTTTTATTTATATACCGCCTTTTCACTGCACATCGGAGTCTCAAAGCGGTTTACAATTGTTATTTTTGGGAGTGGGAGGGGCCAGTACAGGAGGCACATGCCAGAACTATTGTACATATTTTTAGTGGTAGGGGAAACCGGAGCACCCGGAGGAAACCTACGCAGACACGGGGAGAACATGCAAACTCCACTCAGAAAGGCCCTGGTCCGACCGGGATTCGAACCCAGGACCTTCTTGCTGAGAGGCGAGAGTGCTAAGGCCAGGCTAACGCAACTAAACAAACGTGATAGAAACTTAAAATTCTAAATAATGACTGTAATAATTGGCCTTATTGTCTTGCCTTTTGAACGGACTGATTTTCTCTTATACTATTGACACATCAACAACTGCTGGTACTTTTGGGCTGTACTCCCGGTCATTGATTGTATTTGAATTGACTCCACACAGTCCTCATCGTTAACAAGGAAACCCTCCGAGCGCTTGTACTTCATAAATAATACTCTTTAGACTCTTTCTGAAGCTTATTGCCCATTATCTTTACGACCGATGAATGAATGTATCCTCCTCTGAAGCGGAAAAAGCCTTTTACCAAAATAAGTGTGCATTTGTCAGAAGCATCTCCAACGTTTATGAGCATTTTATAAAACACGTCTCCAAAGTGCTGCACAGATAAAAATATACAAGTGTGCTAACACATGCTAACTCTGGCTAATAAAAGCTAACTTAGGCTAACAGAGGGTAACGCACGCTAACTCTGGCTAATATAAGCTAACTCAGGCTAACTCTGGGTTTTTAACTCAGGGTTTTTTAAGCGGCATTATGTAACCTGCCTTCTGCCTTTTC